GGAATAAAGCACGAGAATTTTTTTTTTACCAAGTCTGAATGGACTTTGAAGTTAAGTACCCACAACCGTTAAATTGAACTGTTTACTGTTTAATCTTTAAACGTAAAACATAATAATAGTCTTAACAATGTTAGTTTTCCTGTAAAAATGGACCACGAGGTGAAAATTGATCATTATTGATCAATGATCAATAACTATTGACGATTAATTGTCGATGTAAATAATATATATAAATACGTATCATTTATAATACGTTATACGACAAAAACAAGCCATATTATGGTAAGTTTAAAAATCAATTAAATATAAATCTTACCATTTTTATTGTTCACTGTAAACGGTGAATGATATGATGTTAGGAAATATAAAATTCGTCTTAGAATGTATATATCTAAATAGTAATATCAATTATGTAGTATGTAGTAGATGTTCGAGGCGAGAATGTGACAACTGACGAGTGACAAAGTAACAACGTTCCGTGACGATTGACGAAATGACAAGTGACAATGACAAACGAAACGTTGAATGAGCGAATAACGAAACATTGAAATCGGTAGGAGTATTGATTTTGATATAATGATAGTGATGGCTGGAGTTTTCGTTTGGGGCAGTCCACCTGTACCTGAAAATAACCAATATTGATAATTGGCATTGTCGTACCCGAATCGAAATATAGCCGATTCAGACGCGAATACGCGATAAGCTGATCACTAACGTCGTTTTGATATTATTAATATTATTTCATTATATAGCTCGACTTACGACCGTACAGAGGGCCCGTAGTTCAGATTTTCATACGTGATCATTGACAGTGCCGGATATTTATTGGTGGTGGAAGTGGTGGTGGTGGTAGTGGGGGGTAAGTGGGTATTCTGTCCAGGCGTTCTTAGGCTTATGAAAAATAAAAAGTCATGATCATAATAATATATATATATATATATATATATATAAATATGTTTAAACTTTTATATATTTCCAAATTTCCATCAAGTGAAAAACATTAACAAACGTTATTTAAAAATGTATAATTTTATCTGTAAACTATTTTTGGCCGGCGTTGACGTATTTTATGTAGTTGCTAAGTCTTTATCAGTTTATTAGTTTTCGAAGAAAACCCAATCCGATGATCAACGATAATAATTATTGTACATTATTTTAATGTTAAATCGAAGTACGATAACTTATTTAACTTATTATTTTGTATTGTTCATTTGTTCCTGTCGAGTGGTCGATTTTATTAATTAAACATTTCTATTTTAATGATTTTATGTAACATTTATTTTACAAAAAAAAAAAAACTAATGAATTCAATTAAAAAGCTTAGTGGAACATTATTTTGACTACTTATTGTATACACTATATACCAATTTTAGATATTAATATTGAGTGTTATAATGTCACCGCATCTCTCAAAATTTACATATAACAGATCATGTGTATGAAAATAAGGTGATTCTTAACATTACCGACTAAGTATTTAAAATGATGATAGAAAATATTACACTAATGCCTATAAATTCTATATAATTATTATTGTATTGTACTTCAATTAAATTAGCTTAAGAATACATAGAAAATTAAAAATATATTTTTAAAAAGGCTTGTTTATCCAACACAAAAAGCATTTCATTATAATATCATAATTCATAACATAAAATTAAACTGTAAACGTAGATCGTACTTATAATATATTATGTTATCTTTTTTCCAAAACTATTGTTTTGTGGGACTTAGTTCATATTCTGTCCTTTAAAAAAACGTCTGCCCAAGAGTATGCAAACTCAAGGGCGCCCATAGAAGCATTCTCAAGGAGGGGACAAAGTTTTAATTATGTTCATGAGATAGGAAGGGGTTTACAATTTAACATTATACAGTATACTATTATATTTTATATAATATCAAACTGGAAAATTATGAAATAATAATTATTTAACCAATTAACCATAAAAGTTATTTATTGAATTTTCATTTAATTAATAACATGAATGTATAAAATATTAATTTACAGATAAAAATTGTAAATTTCTTTTTTTAACACCAAATATATTTATTACTTGTCTTATGTATTCTTTTGTTTTATCATCAATTTTTTCCCTATATACACTTATCATGCATAATCCATCAAGTTTATCTTCATTCATTTTAGATCTTGTGTAAACAATTTTTCAATATTTTCCATGGGGGGACATGTCCCTCCCTTGCCCCCCCCATATAGGCGCCCTTATGCAAACCCATGGCTACATACTCCGTGCGCACGCCCATGTAAGCTAGGCATTTATGCACAAACGGAAATTAAAACCACAATTTCCAACGTGAGAGTGATAAAACGATACTTTATTTAATTTGAAGAACGTATCAAAATTGATGTTTCACATCTCAAAGTGTGTCAATCAAAGACGAATGCATGCAAAATGTTGCGGGTTATGAGATTTGAAAAAACATCATAATTTTAGAATTGTTATATATCAATATTTAATTGTAAGTACATTATTGCTATTATTTATTTCGTGGGGAGATTCTCTTTGCGGCCAATCGGTTTGCGGCGAATTAATTGTTTTAGACCTTAAAATGTAATAATATGCTAATATCTATTTGTAAATACCATAAAATAGTAAAAAATAAAAATAGATTTATAGTACCTTTAAATAGATAACGTTTAAAAATGAATCAAAAATATTATTGTGTATAGTAAAAACTAAAATATATAAAAGTACAAGTTTTCACAAATGTTTTTAAATTATTATAAACAAATTAATCTATCATTATTTACAGTTTAAATATCTAAATTGGAACTTAAAGTGTCCATAACAAATAATTGTCTATTTTTTAGATTTATTTGTTTTAGCATTGATTTTAGATTAATGGTTTTAGTATGAATTACTTATGAAGTTTCTTGTATTAAATTTTCAAAACTTAGATACGAAAATAAAATTGCTTATACATTTTTATACAAATATAAGTATAATTTTGTGGTAGTGTATTGAATTTCCAAGAAGTTTGACTCGGCGAATAATTTATTATCGATATCTGTGGAAAAAAATGTAATGTAATTCATTCAAAAAATTCTACTATAGTACAGTTATCACATTACAAATTGTATGACTTTTAGAAAAAAAATTGACCTGGTAATTTTGTGTTACATTTTAGTTTGTTTTTTTTTTTAATAAGATTTTATTTTTCTAACAATCTCAAAATTATAATTTAATACATTACTATGGTAACGAATTCATTTGAAACTATTTAAATTCAAACCGGTAGTAGAATTCGGGAAAAATTTTATTGACAATGCTTTGGAACTCTCTTACCGTAATTGGTCACAGATATTTTTTCGTGTACAAATATCTTCATTTGTAATTTTCATGTTGCCCTTATTTGATTTTTTTTCTTAAATGATTGGAACAAACCTTTCTATGAGTATTATTTTTAATATCAATGTAAATGTAAAAGCATTGATTATAGAATAGTCAATCGTCTATTGGTCTATTCAATAATCAATGGTAAAAGTAAAACACATTCAACATAGTATCAAATCTAAATAAGCCGGAAAGGTCGCAAATATAATTGTATAGATGGCGCCACTAATTACTCAAATTATAAATAAAATAATAATTTTATGTTATATTATAAATTAATTAGATTTTTTTTTTACCAAGATAGATTTTAGTTCTTTAGACTTTAATAAACATATTCATCGATCGATGTAGATATTCTACACTTTTACAGTAATCTTATTGTCATAAATTTATGGAATGATTGAATGGTATCTAAAATCTAAACATTATTTGATAATGTACTACTATAAAACTACATTAAGTTATACTCAGAAAAGTATGGAGTCTATTCTTCAAGCCTGAGCCTATTTTCGTTGCAAGTATATTTATTGTTTAAACATATTTATAATATACATGCTCTTCATATCGATGATTGCTAATGAAGATTCTTAATACTGCAACTACAAATATCTTAAAAATTAAAAATACATGTTGTATTTAGCAGATTTAGACTTAGAGTAATATTAGAAATATGTATATTTAAACTTCCTACTTCCCCAAGTTCTAACAATGATTTCCCCACAAGTATAGGCAACTTGTGAAGAATATTAAATAAATTTCAATATGAATAGATTTAAGGCTCTGTTATATTTGTTTTATATAATGTTTTAAAATTAATTAATAATTTTGAACATAATGATTTAAAATTATCTATACATTGCATAGTATATAATTAAGTTTAAACACAATTTTCAACATAAGATTTTACTAATGAGCAAGTAATTAATAATTTTTAATGATCAAAAAATGATTGAAGTGACCATTTAAGACAAGTACCTATCAAAACAGCTAATCTTTATTAGTCATGTATGATAGTATTTGAATATTCATTCAAGAACATGAATATAATACATTATTTATTAGTAGATTAAGGTGTATCAAAAATAAAATATTTGTAACTACTTTTCAAAATGTTAGACTATAATATGAAGATTAACTTCTACTTATAAAAAAAATTGATACTGCTAAGAATCAAATTTAATGTTTCATTTTATTTAACAATTTAATAGGTGAATAGTGAAAGTCATTACTTAATATTTCTTAAGTAAAGAAATAAAATCATTAAATTATTAATTATTAAATGTATCAGCAATAAATAGAAATCCATCTTGTAATATTTATGTACTGTGAATGCAGTTTAATAAAGTTTATTATTTTTATAAATAATATTAATTTAAATGTACTATAAAAATTTGTAAGTAATGCTCAGTATACACCATTGAGTTAGTTATATAATAATTAATAAATAATGCAAACCCAAGTATTTCATCGTAAGTAATTAAATAAAATCAATAAATTAAAAAAAAAAATTTTTATTTGTTTTTTATTTTAAGCATTTACATGAATTATATACTATTTAATTCTAAATGGTTATAATATTTAATGTATATTTATAAATAAAAATATTTAACTAAATGTATTTACTATTTAACAAAATACCAGTAGATATCAAAAAAGTCAAAACATTGATAAAACATCAATATTTTTTATTCATCAAATTCGCTTATTTTATTTTTTTGTGATTTTTGTTCATCATAAAGCTGATTCATAAGCATTTCATTTTCTCTCATAGTTGATTCTATTTTGTATGGTTTTATAACATATCTAACAACCAACATAGATGCAAACCAGCTCAAACCAACAAATGCTAAAATTTTGTTGAAATTACCGGTGAGTACACCACCAGGTTGAACGGGTTTTACATTTTTATTCATTCTTTCTGGAAAAAAAGACAAAAATAAATAATTAGACAATGCACTATTGAAAACAAAAATAAACATTTTAAGTTCATATGAGTAAGCAAAAAAAAAAAAAAACAGAAACCACGACCACTAAATCGACAACTACAAATAGGAATGTCATCAATCGATTTAATTATATTATTAAACGTGACACTGTAATTAATAGGCATATTTAATATTTCATATAAAAGAAGTTCTTCTTTTATGGAAAATATCACATGCTTTCAGAATACGGCGGTGACTATTTGGACAGTGTATCGAAAACGACAAACCTTAATTTTCTTGTGTCGTTCGTTGTCCAAAGATTCGAAAAACGGCTTCCAAACGTACACTCCACCAAACACTCCTATTGCTGAAGCGATTATGATTTTTGTCCAAGACAAGCTCCGTTGTCTAGTTATGTATTTGCGCATCATATCAGCAACCTGGCCGTAAGTATACGTCGGATTTTAGTGATTGTACGGGTTGGTGCAATACACTCGCTTATCATTATCAAGCGGTCCATGTGAGCCTATAAATAATACAGCGTTGTTGTAGTAGGGCGGCTTGATAAATCGTTATCAGTGACTTTTCAGTAAAGTCGTCGATGTCGTTCGTAACATCTAGTAAGTGTTGATAATAGTAAAATTAATTTTTTTTTATTGATAATGATTAATAATATAATTAAATAATGTCTTTCACGGACGGATGAATGACGGTTAAAGATAAAATAATCTATTATTGTCTTAATTCGCGAGACGTAGAGGATTTAAGATAATCTCTTAAATCGCGATGGGACGTATCCACTACCCATAGCTGTTGATAACAGTAGCGATTATTAATTTTGTTAATTCAACTTATAAATCGTCATGCTGGCGGTGGTAGTCGGGGTTGGGCACTCTCTGGAGTCTAAAGACAAGAATATTATAATAATAACGACTATTAAATCGAGGTAGTAAATCTCGGACTGTGGCCTGTCGGTGATCCGACGTGGAGGATTAATGTCTATCAGATTTATTATTACTATTATTAATAACATACGTGCGAGGTATGTACTATGTACTTATAATATGTTTTATATATATATATATTATATACAATACAATATTATTATTATGCGCGCGAGCGGCTACCGAGTAAACGGACGGACAACTATTCAACTACAACAGTCAACAATTCGTCCGGCCGGTGGAGGGGGCAGAATAAAATAACAAACAAGTGTTATTTTTTTCTGTTTAATCTTAAACCGATAGGCGGGATGCAGGGGCGGTGGTCTGCCGGTGGATTTAATACGACCGCTCAAGGTCACCGGCTCGCGCAGAGTGGTTAAGGTTAAGCGTTTACACGGACATGATGTCATAGTGACATCACTCACGTCGTAACCAGTTGTGTTGTTACTTGTTTGAGCGCGCAACCGTGTGCGAACGCCGTGTCTCGCCCGTGCACACGTTTGAAAACAGACACACGCACGCGCGCGCGAACTTAAACGGTCACACACCCGTACGAAAAATATTTCCAGAAAAAAGTTTATATTTTCCCACCCTTTTCCGACGGAACTCTGCCCGTTGCCCGGGGCCATTCGCCCTGGTGCCCTATCGTCAAACGTCTGCCGAGCTGCGTCCTTCCGTTTCGCGAGCGGATTAGTAAAAGATTGTTGTCGAGCTGCAGCGTACCGGCGATGTCGTAGCACACATAGCGTGATAACGAGACGCCTCCACCGAACGGAACACCTGTTGATCATCTGGAACGAGCGCGGGATACGCGACGTGTGAATCCACACGTAGTTCTGTCGACGTTCGTCGGTCACTGGTTGCGTTGTCCGTACGGGATTTCGGATATTACGGTTTTACGAATGACACGAGAAAAACATCAGAAGAACTACAACACAGCGTAAGTCACATATATATAACGGATTTATATGGTGTACTGTCCGTTTTCTAATTTTTCTTTTTATTATTATTATTATTATTATTATTATTAATAATAATATTCTAAGTTGTTGTTTGTGGGCTGTAATCGCCCGGACTGATAAGAGCGGCGAGCAGAGCGAGTGTACAATGTTTTTACAACACGATTAGTCTTATCAGTTTACTTTTTTTTCTCCCATTCACGATTGGTCGGTTACAACAAAATATGATCTGCTCTAGTTTTAATACTCGTGTTCGGGTAATGAACTTATGGACAACAGGACAACATATTAAGTTTTTGTTAATACTATTTTGAAACATTATTATCGCTTCAACTAAAATCTAATTCGCATAACTCAACATAGCTCCTAAACAGGCTAAACATCAAAAATTATTGTTACCGAAGTCCGAAAGTATTAAATTATTTTTGGAAGCAATTCATTCGTATGAAATATAAATGTTAATACTTGGTATAATTTAAAAAATATATTAACTATGTTGCATAAAGTTTCGTTCGTACAACTTGCAAATTTGCATAAAATTATTATTTTTTTGATAATATTACACACACTTATTGCGTATTGTGTGTACATTGTACAATAAATTGTATAAGTAGTCTAAATAATATAGATCGTCTATTATATATTGATTAACCAAAAAATCGTTTTTATTTTATGATCTAGGTATTGAATCCAATAATTATAGATAATATTACATGCAATACGTGTAGGTACACATTATTTTGCTAATAGGTAGTACCTACATTATTATTTTATTTTAATATTTTACAATAATCGTAATTAATTACATTTATTATTAATGTGATGAAAATAAATTTAGTATATAGTAAATTTAATACAATGATACAGATAATACTTACTAAACTTAAGTGTGCTAATTGTTATTATTTAATAATATATGCGAAAATTTTGCTTCAAAATTATTAAGACACTTCAATTTTTTTTTTTTTTAAGAAAGATATTGTTGCATCTAAAGTAACTATAGTTTATAATGATATCAATTTTTATTTTTATTGAGTTAAAATCACCTTTATAATTGTTATTAAAGCTTAACTTCTTGAGTGGTTAATAATTTATCGTAAGATACTATTTCGTATTTTCGTTGTAATAAATATAAATACGACATATATATATCAAATTATTGTAATATTCAAGGGGATTTGAATTTAAATGAAAATTTATCCGGCGCAATTGAATTGGCTCTCCGATACTTAAGTCAATATTTTACCTTTAATAAGTATTTTTGAATTGACTCCCAAGAATTTACTATTGAATTGGCTCCCTAATATTTTTTTAAATGTCAATATTTTAAAGTTAGTCGTTATGTCCTAGAGTGGTTGACGTCAGTATGATTCTTAATCTTAACACATGGTTTACGATATTACATTCGTATATTTTACATCGTTACGTTGAACGTTATATAAAACAATTGCGTTGTATTGTATTGTAAAACAATTACATTCATCGATCCACTCAAAAATAAATATATAATTATAACATTGAACTGTGAAATAAAAAATACAAATTTTTGAATAATAATTGAATGTTTATAATTTTAACTAGAAAATATTCAATTATTATGCATACTATTACATATTAATTGCTTGTTTTGTGCTTTCTAAGCACGTCATTATAATATATATGTATATTGTATAAATGCAAAATTAAATAAAAAAATGATGTTAGACTATTTTTCGTAGTCTATATTTATTGGCTAATATTTTTATTTATTGAAACCTTGTATTTATACCTTTGTCATATTTTCGAATTTCATCTTCTAAAAATTGTATTTTATCTCTAATTTCTTTCTGGTGTGGTTTTGTTGTATTGAATCTTATAATAAATTTTGTATTAGATTGAATACTTTATAATATATTTAGAAAGTTTAATATATTTGGATGTGGAGAATAAAATTGCGAATTAAATTTGGAATGAAAAGATTCGTACGAGTTAGTTGTACGATATATGCTACTGTTTTTTTCTGCCTAAATTTCTGGTGAAAATGTTGAATCATTGTTAATATAATTTTTTAATAAATAATCATTAAATTTTGTATGGTTTTCATTCATAGACTGTATTTCAGCTAATTCGTCAGAAAATCAATCCTTAACTGATTGTGGATCTAGGAATAGTAATCCAAATATATACTTTAAATATTGGCCTATTTCTGTATTTTGCACGTACTCTGATGAAAGATGAAATTTTTTTATTGTTTTATACCAAGATTGTCCTAGGACCTAGGTGAAACCGACTACCACGAACTTAAGTCAATGGCCAAACATCATTTATTGCATTATGTATAGCTATTTCAAAGTCAACATAATTAATTACTAAGAAATTTTAAATTGTTTTCGGTGCTAAATGATAAAATCCCTTTTTCTGCGTTATTAACTTGTAAAAATATATTACCTCATATTATGTTTTTACGTCCATATTGTCATTCAAAATATCATGCACCTCTTGTCTATTATGAGACAAATTTGGTCGTTAAGACGCTCGAACTTGAAATATATCGTGTTTTATATATGTCACATCTTTGGTTGTAATTGCATTTGTATTATTCACCCTTCACCCATAAATATGAATGAAATAACTTGGAAAGGCGTTCTCTCATATTATCCGTGGCCTTACGTTTCAAATTATTGCCTATTTTTTGACATTTCATTTTATTTTCTTCGTCTGGATCGTAGTTATATTTTAGATTACGTGATGTCCACACGATATCCTTATTTTCCAATACTTTTAAATTGGCAGTGCATCCTCTTTTAGTACATTTATACCAATGTTGATCATTTTGTAGAAGTTTGTGAAAATTAAACTTAAATTTGTTAACTATAAAAATTAATTTTCCCTTTTTGCTCAACATTTTCTTAACGGAATTCATTTTTACACACTCGCGTGAACACAGTGTATCTACTAATAAAGTATAGTACATTGCTATTGTGGTCATCAAATATTAATGAACAAATAAATTAGTGTATTGGAGTCACAGATAATCGATTATTGTAGTAGATTAAAACGATTAAGGTGATAGAACTGAATTCAATAAATATGTAGGTATATATACTATAATATAGATATATTCTGCGCTATACTGTAATTGAGAGGAAGTTTTCTGACTATATCAGGTTGACGTCGTGAAATTAAACGCGTTTAATATGAGAACACCTGGTTAAATAGTAATATTTTACAGTTTAGGGAGTCAATTCAAACATAATACATTTTTTAGGAGCCAATTCAAAGGTCAATTTCATATTTACCCAAAATTGGGAGCCAATTCAAAAGAGCCCAATTTATCAACAATTATCATTACGTAATATACTATTCATTATTCATAACAGGGCATTTCTTGAAGGTTAATGGAAACAAAAAAAAATTAAAAATTTATAATCTATAAAAAACACTTACATTTTACACAAACTGGTATTTAAAAAGAAGTAAAGAAGTATTTACTATTTAATACTTATTAATACTAAATAAGTGGCTTGGCGTGGTGCGTTGGCTGCTATCAGTCGCGGAATGCGAGAGAGTAAGTAACGACCACAGCTACTAGCTCCCGGATGGGTGACCACTCGGGATCATAGTGGTTAAAAACCTTGCCACACATACACGTGTTTGTTATCAACCGTAACAATCGTAAAATACAACCTACCGTACCAACCTTACCCCTTACCATAGTTCATAACCCTTACAAACAGCTAATGGCCCTAGTTGCCGGGCTTAAGTTCAATTAAAAAAAAAAAAAAAATACTAAATAACTTTTTCAAAATAGTATTAAATAGTTTAGATACAAAAGAAACAATAATAATTATTATGTTTGAAAAGAATTTTTAGTGGAAAATTTACATCATGCACCTAATAAATTCAAAAATCTCATTTTGAAAATTTGAACTGCAGAAACAGAAATTAAGCTGGTTGTACTTGATTTGTAAAATAATCGTATTCTAAAAATGAATAAGAGATAAAATCTTAATTTCTCAATATATCTCTATAGTTTATGTGTGAAACATGAAAACAATTTTTTTTCTCTTCAGCTTTAAATATAATAATATTCTAATAATAATTCTGGTTGTAACTGAAGTATAATAGTCTGATAGTAATTTTTCTATGTATTAATTTAACATTAACATATTTCTTTTATGATCACTAACCTAAATAGGTTAAAATGAGTAAGGATCAGTGGATCAGTGTTAGACAAGTTTTAAGTAGCCCATCATCGATTTGAAATGTAGTCTAGTAGGAAAAGAACATTTTTCAACTTTAAAAATATATTATTTTAGTACCTAAATAACATTTTGTTCTCGTTTGGTTCTTAAAAATATATCAAATATCAAAATACACTTCTATTATTACAAGGTATAGTAAAATATTATAGTATTTTAAAATTGTTTTAGCCTGTATTATATTTTATACTATATTACCATTACACTACGTTTATGGATAGTAATTGAATACACATCGAACGTACATAAACATATATAAATCCAGAGGTATGAAATTTATGAAATTTATAAAAAAATGTATAGATAATGTAAATAATTATTATTTTGGCTAGTTATTAGTATTCTGGATAAATTTCCACTAATCCACCATTTAAGTATTTTAACATACCTAAATGTGTCACTGTTAATTATCATGTTTGGACGTAGGTATAGTGATAAATGATTATTATATTGTTTTTTACAATAATCAAAAATATACTATGTTTAGAATTAAAATGTTTTGAAATATATTTTATGTCAATTTTATATGACAAAATTATAACCGGTTATGATTTTTATAATATACAAATTTTGTTAAAAACACTAAACTGTTATTTGAACATTGTGATAATG